TTGTCTTTGTTTGGGTGCTACCTTGATCTCGTTGTCGTACAGGGCAATGCTGCCGTCTTAAGTCACAGTTATCGAATATGTGCATTATGTGAGGGTTTGTGCAGGTGAATAATTAGTGAAGGTCTGTGAGCTAGCCGAGTAAATGGCAAATTTCCTGAGTGTTTTCAGCCAGTTTGTGACCTAATTAATGCGAAACGAGAATGTATTGGTAAATTTTTAGACCATACGAGTTACGTTAGCTGATATTGTTCGACCGCTGGAATGGACTCACATCTGCGTTGTGCTCTCGCGTTCGGTGCTGAAACCCAGTCAGGTAAGTCCGTTTGACTTATAAGGGTCTAAATTTCTTTCTTGTGATCGTCAAGATGAAGACTGGTGGTTAAGTCTGAATATTATTTTATCCACATGAGAACCATCAGTGTGCAATTTTTTATAGCAGTATCCGTGTGCGTCATGGACGGATCTTTGCATGTTTCTCTGCCTATAAGTTTGTTAGTCTCTGAGCTTGCTACCGAGATTCTCAAATGTCTTTATTTGACTGACGTTTCGACGTTATCGCCTTCTTCAGGGCCTTGAAGTCGTAAGACATTAGGAAAACATTCAAACACTATTTAAGCTCATAGGAAAATTCGAAAATGTTCGTGAACAATTAGCACGACGCCACATGGGCTCGGTAATAATAACTCAACTACTTGGGGTTACATAAACCTCTCTAGTCGACTTTACCAAAGGTCACATTTCAAAGCTCATATGACGTCGTCTTAGTAGTTGGCGAGCCCTTTTTAATTCTCCTGTAGGTTGAAATAGTGTGAATGAAGAGTTACCCAAATCTCCTGCGATTTCCCAGGCTCTGAGAAAGCCGAAAACGCCGAACCGTTCGTCGAATGAAAGTCGTCAACAGCCTTTGTTCCAAGCTAAGTAACTTCGCAAACTTATACGGAGGAGAAACATTCCTCAAATTTTCCTGCATACCCGCAATTCAATAACACCCTTCTTTTGATTTTTGACTCTTTCCTTCAGGTTATTGTGTACATCAATGGACGTGCGGTATCAACCCAACGGCTGCAGTACATCGTTCAAACAGCTGGTGGAGCAGCTACTCAACTAGCTCACACACATGTTGTGAATGCTGTGATTGGTACTCTACCAGCCATGCGACGGCCTAGCCGCTTACGGTGAATGGCGTTACATTTCTAAATTCAAGGTAATTATAAGGCTTTGTTTTAACAATGGGATGATTCGTAGGTATCGGCTTGCATCGACTTTCCTCATCGAAGAGCCGTTGTCTGCCGAACTTGTGCGGAGTATTTACGAATTGCAGCCGCATTACGTCGGTAGTCTTCAAGCTATCGGTCCAGAACGATTATCTCTTGTGCAGGAGGAAAAGGTAGGATGCAATATGATACGTTTCTGAAGCGCGTGAAGAGATTTGTTGCAGATAGTTTTCGCTTTAAACGGCATGGCAACGACCGAGATGACACTTGCAAAAATTCGCACCGTGCACAACAAGATGGATGCTGAAATATTGGCACCTCATGTAATGCTTTGTGACTGATTACTTTATTACTCGTTGATCGTATCTGAGTGAATCGTAAGAATCCAAGGGAAACCGGAATGATTGCATGGCACATCGCAATGATCGTGGGACTAACGAAAAGCCTCATCCTTCCTGGCTAGAGTCGTCTACATTAAAGAACTTTGATTCAGCGCAGCATTTACGGATTGTGACAGTACACTCAGTTTTTGGTCATAAGAAGCAAGGCAGCGGTCATACTTCGCGATCAAAGAAATGGAGTTGCGCGACTATGACCGGCAGAGCTCCGCCGCCATCGGCCCGCTGCAACTTGAGCAACTTTTGTTTCACTATTCCAGTCAGTTATATCTTGGTTGGCATCAGATTCACATCTGGCCCAAGATTCGAACCAAAAACAATAAAGAGAACTGCAAGGCAGAAAAAGGAAGTGACGCAGTCTCGTGACAAGTAACTTGGCCATCTGTAAACGTAAGTCCGCAGCTTTGGACATTTTCGTGGAACAGCACGACTTCTGCAAACCTTTAGTTGTAAGAGTAACGACTGTTGGGGTAGTTACAAAATCAAAACTGATAGAAGCTGATCAGTTTGATGGTTCTGTGATTGACTGTGGAGCGCGGACGTGGTCGTGCTATCAAGAATTGTGTAAGTCGGGAATCGCGAGTAGTCGTGCAACTGAAGAATCGCGCGCGATCTCGTCGCACAGTACGAACGCTACCTAACGTATAGGTTCCAATTCACTGTAGAAACCGCTATGGATTCGTGCGTCTGGATGGTACCGTATTGTCAAATACATATGCTATTGCTAAGACACTGCTCAGAAACGGTCGTTTTTCTTTTTACACGCCAGTTTATCGCTCGATCATATTTCACTTTCAGTTGGGCATATCCTCGAGTGATAACAGTACGCCTCTGCGAGTCATGACCAATACAGTAGCCCATGCTCCGGGAGCTGGCAGAGCCTTTGGAGCTGTGATTATAGGGTCAGTGAACTGTTTTGTAGTGCACGTTAGCATGGCACCCATTTGTCCCAATCAAATTTGAGAAACAAATCTTGTGGCAGGAAACTTCCTTTATCTCTTGTTTTGAAGATATCTGGGAATGCGCACATTTATTCCACGACCTGTCCCACGTCTACTTGATTCCATGGGTGGATACGCTTGCCTATATGGTCTCGTGGCTATGGCTACTGATTCTGAGGGTCTATACGCCAGCTTGAAAGCCGTTGTGTCAGCTGTGAGATCCAATAGCAACCTCCAAGCGACATTACATGCAAACAGGGCGTATCAGGTATTTTTGTTACTTCTTTTTTGAGGTGAGTACTTCAATGTATCCTTTTGCAGACACTGGCAGTGCTTCTCGAAGATAAGGCAAACCTGTTGAACTCCCATATCATGCATATGATCTTCAGCATGGCTGGCACTTTAGACACTGCTAGGGAAATCGCTACTATACCAAATGCGCAAGTGAGGATTTTCCCCAATCGCTTAGCGTTTTTGATATTTTATGCCATAGAAGCGAATTTGATGTACATTAACGCATTTAGTCCGTTTTGAATAAGAGCGGTCGAGATGGGGGTTTGTAAATATTTTGCCTGTTATGATTGACCATAAAAAGTATCCCGTTGAAAGGAAAATGGTTGGGAACCCTCCCCGTAATCGGCGGATTCGAAGTTGGGTTTGAAATAAAAGTTTTAGTTATGTCTCTTTGAGTCAACTGTAATGTGAAAGGGGCCATATTATGGAGTGGCTGCCAGTGGCTAATCGGTGATTGCGCGTGTTTCATAGCGCTGTCACCTATAACGCTGCCTGGACAGCTTTCACGCATCGCGCGCATGGCGATATCGATAAAATCTCTTCCGTTAATTAACCAGTCCAGAGAAGAGAATGTGAATTAGTTTCCATAACGATGTGTGAGTCCAAGGGTGGCGGTTGTGCCCCAGAAAAGTCGTTTTCTCTTGAGCTTTTTGGTTTCTTTGATATTTGCCGCTGTTCCTTTCTCTCTATACATGAAAATTATCGATTTCTATCTAGCGTAACCTTATTTCCATCGAGACATGGTTTAGATTAGGGTCGTTGATGAGAATGCGCGGGAATGCAGAGAAAGAACGTTGAACAAACGTTTCGCTTCTGCTCCCATTGGCAGCTACTGCGTGAACAGGCAAACAGGTTTCACTGAACGCGACCGGCACCTGTACGTTAGTTTCAGCTCCCGGTTCTCTTTTCTTCACTCTTTTGTGAAAATTTGTGCTCCTACGGTTAGCGGATTCGTAGTGCAATAGCTGGAAGCTTGGCACTAGGCAACATCATGAAGAGTATGAGTTCTCGCTTCCGATCATTGAACTGGCGGCTTCCTCACCTTTACGATGCGATCGATTTTCAGCTCTCCGAATATTCTGTTCTCGAAATTTAATTCATATTAAAAGTTGTTTGTTTACTCCTAGCTCTATTTACTTTTTATTACTTCCTAGTGTTGTTTTCCGCATCTGGAAATATTATTTGTTCCAGGCTTTCGAGGACCTGTTGTGTGACCTAGATATTTGGGCGAATGCACCCGAAGAGCAGCACAGAATGCTCTATGAACATTTCTACGAGTTGATTACGGAGTAAGTTGTTGATGATTTTTCTCTGCATGTTGCCAGAACTAGCGAACGAGGTCCTCCGCATATCTCATGGACTAAGAGCTATGGTTTTTGGTCACACGGAGAGACCCATTCTCCCACACACACAAAACAACGTTAAAATGTTGAAATATCCCAGTCACAAGGCTATACTCTGTTTCTGTTCCTGAGAACTATTCGGTTTCGTTGAACTTTATTAACCATTTCGCATATGCTTCAACTCAGACTAGCCTTTCCTATTCAGTTGAATTTTAGCCATGAAAGGGAAAACCTCGCTATTGTTCGACGATCACCACTGCTCTCACGTTTACTGTTTACAATGTTTGATCGACCTCATCTGTTGTGGTCAACGAATGAGATTGTGTTCAACTTGTTGTCAGCTATTGTGCAGCCCCAGTGCGATAATCGAAGTATGCTGAAGCTTGGGTCAGGCTATCGCAGCAACGTTACCTACGACGTATGTGGTCATTGTACATTTTCTCACATCTTTACCGCTCTGATTATGGCAGAACAAGGCCCAGCACATAGCGGGAGGGGTCGAGCATGTCGCCAATAAAAAGCATTTGAAATACCGGCGGAAATACAAGGCTCAAATGCATATAGATAGTAAGCATGCAAATTCGAGACTCACTTTAATTGTTGTGTGGCTGGGTTAAAGTTATTCGCCACTGTGGGAAATCAAAGTGGCTAGTTGATAAGTGTCCTACTACCCACAAAACAACTGCAACATTGTGTAGTTGATGCGCAGCTCTAAAACCAAAGAGGATTCTATTTAGACGTTAACGGACAAGACCATAAGTGGGATTTTAGCACTGTGCCACCCAACTCCAGTGATATTAGTGCTTTTGCACAGTGAACTTAAACGAGAAAAACTTTGGCGTCTATCAATCCCTTTTGGGATGGGCACGCTTTCACCACCATTGCGAGTTTTAGCGGCTCATTGATTGTGAAACGGCCCATATAATGATTGTAGTATCCTTGCCGATTTAGAAGTTACACGGTTCGGGTGCCTACTGAAGGCTCCCGGAGGCTAGCAGCCTCGACTGGCCCGAACTAGAGCCGATCTGAGATATTGCGTTCGGAACGCGCACGTGGTAAGCAGGCCTTTTGCTATAAGACCACCTGGGGCAGCGTAGGTTGTGCACAATCGCACATAGTGCGCATCGAAACCCAGAGTTAAATACTAGTCATGCTCTTCGGGGTGGAAATCTCGAGTAACTTATCACCTTGTGAACACAGCCTAAGTGTCCTATTCTATAGACCATTGCAAAATGCCATTTAAAGCTTCAATGAAAGTTGAGCGTACCTTGGATGGACTACAGGGACTTGTTTCAGCGTTGAAGATCTCGCATTAGAGTCCATGTTTTCGTTCCACATTTCCGAGATGCAAAACCAACTCCTAGCCAATCAAAAACCAGATGAAGGTCAGCTGCTGTTGTGTTTTTGTCGTTGTGACCCTATTTATCAACTAGCTGCTGTACTCGAATTTAGAAACTGTAGCTCATTTTAGTTCCCATTTTGAATTGTGAATGAAATTTTTTGCCTTTTAAAACGCGATATGTTTTTTTAGGGAATAAACATGTTTTTTCTTTATTTAGTTGCATTCAGTGTTCATTTGTGGAATATAAGGGATCTGTCGAGATTGTGCTTCAGCGCTTTATTTGTTTTCAGAGAAACCGTCGGTGTTATACTTGGTCTATGTAAGAAATCGCCTGTTGAACATGATTGCCAACTTCTTGTCGCATTCCAGTCCACCCCTCAACCAGCAGTGAGTTAACTGCTTTGCAGAATTTTGCTTCTTTCTATGCTAGAGCTTTCTGTAGATATACCAGAATGATTTCATCGACCACTTTCAGTATGTCGGAACAAATAGTCCGTGTTCTTGGGTTCGACTGGATTTACTGTCTTCTATCACCTGGCGTGCATTCGGGAACAGTGTTTCTGGCCCTCAGAATTCTTCTTACACTCGTTGCTCATCCTCATTTGTTGGCGAAATTCCGAGAGGGCACTGCCAGTGGTGGTTGGTTAACGGACGCGGATTCTGTGGTGCGGAATCGAGCTGCTGTGAGTGTTTGGTTGTCAAGTCTAGGCTTAAGCCAGA